AGTTTTGATATTTGTGGACGCGGAGAAAGCTTTTGACAATATCTCTTGGAGTTTTATGAAGAAGAACCTACAGGGGATGGGGGTAGGCCAAGGCTTTGAAAACGCTATAAGTGCAATTTATTCAGAACAAAAGGCTAAACTAATTGTAAATAATGTGGTGACAGAAGAATTTAAGATAGAAAAAGGGACACGACAAGGCTGCCCAATTTCCCCACTGCTGTTTATATCGGTCCTGGAGGTTTTGCTGAATATGATTAGGAGGGACCAGTTGGTTAAAGGTATACAAGTCGGAGCTAAACAGTACAAATTGAGAGCATTTGCAGATGACTTAGTACTGACGTTACAGGAGCCAGAATCTAGTACTAAAAGGGTTTTAGAACTGATTCAAGAATTTGGTCAGGTTGCTGGATTTAAACTGAATAAGTTAAAAACCAAGGTTTTAGAGAAAAACTTAACACTGATTGAGAAAGAGAGGTTTCAGAATGAAACAGGTTTAACAGTGGTTAAGAAAGTGAAATACCTGGGGATTAATATGACAGCAAAAAATGGGAACCTATTTAAAGACAACTATGAAAAATGCTGGGCCGAAGTGAAAAAAGATTTAGAAATTTGGTCAAATTTAAAGCTTTCACTGCTGGGTCGTATTGCTGCGATAAAAATGAATGTATTGCCTAGAATGTTGTTTTTGTTTCAAACATTGCAAATTGTGGACAAAATGGATTGCTTCAAGAAGTGGCAGAGAGACATCTCTAGATTTGTCTGGCAGGGCAAGAAGCCCAGAATAAAATTTAAGATATTAACTGATGCAAAGGAAAGGGGTGGATTTGCCCTGCCAGACTTTAAACTTTACTATGAATCAGCAGCTTTTTGCTGGTTGAAAGAATGGCTGCTTCTTGAAAACACTGACATTTTGGACCTAGAAGGTTTTAATAATGTATTTGGATGGCATGCATATCTGTGGTATGATAAGGTCAAAGCACATAAAGCATTTAAAAACCATATTGTCAGGAAAGCATTGTTTAATGTTTGGATAAGATATAAGGACTTATTGGAAAATAAAACCCCAAGGTGGCTATCACCGATGGAAGCGAAAGCTCTGAAAAAGCTCAATATGGAGGCCAAATGGCTGAAATATTGGGAAATTTTGGAACAAGATGGAGATAGACTGAAATTGCAGAGTTTTGAGAAGTTAAAAAACAAAGTGCGAGACTGGCTTCATTATTATCAGATAATGGAGGCATATAATTTGGACAAGAAAATTGGTTTCCAGGTGGAAAAAGCAAAATTAGAAACAGAACTGTTAGAACCCAAAACCAAGATTTTGTCAAAGATGTATAACTTGCTGTTGAAATGGAATACTCAGGATGAAACGGTGAAATCTGCTATGATCAAATGGGCACAAGATGTTGGACATAACATAATGATGGCTGACTGGGAACAGTTATGGACCACAGGTATGAAGTTTACGGCATGTAATGCCTTAAGAGAGAATATTATGAAAATGATATACAGGTGGTACATGACCCCAGTCAAGCTTGCAAAAATTTATCATTTGCCCGATAATAAATCTTGGAAATGTAAAGAAACTGAAGGTACATTCTTTCACCTTTGGTGGACGTGCCCAAGGATTAAGGCTTTCTGGGAGATGATATATAATGAATTGAAAAAGGTATTTAAATATACCTTCTTGAAGAAACCAGAGGCCTTTCTCTTGGGCATAGTCGGTCAATTGGTGCCAAAGAAGGACAGAACTTTTTTTATGTATGCCACAACAGCAGCAAGAATACTCATTGCAAAGTATTGGAAGACACAAGATCTACCCACTCTGGAAGAATGGCAGATGAAGGTGATGGACTATATGGAACTGGCGGAAATGACTGGCAGAATCCGAGACCAGGGAGAAGAGTCGGTGGAAGAAGATTGGAAGAAATTTAAGGACTATCTACAGAAATATTGTAAAATTAATGAATGTTAGAATGATGTTGGATAGAAATTAAGTGGTTTTCAGCTGTAATACTATAAGGGAATATGAAAAATGGATTATTAATAGGTAAAAATTTAACGTTACAATATTTTAAGATTAAAGATTAGGATAAACAAAGAGGGTAAGGATTTGCTGAACCAACAATCTGAACTGGAATACAAAAAAGGGAGGCGTGAGGAGGTCCGGGAAATAAGCTAATGAAAAATAAGTAATGGAAAGATTGAGTTGTTTTTAGCCATTTTTATTTTTGTACTTTTTTCTTTTTTTGTTTTTGTTTTGTAACATTTTGAAAATCTTAATAAATATCTTTAAAAAAAAGAAAAAAGAGAGAAAGACTTCTGTACAGCAAGGGCAGCCACCATGATGTCCTCCAATGATGTTGTTGGACTCCATCAGCCCCATGCCCTTCATGGCCAATGGCCATGATTGATGGGAGTTGTAGTACCAAAGCATTTGAAGGGCACATTGCTGACTGTACCTGCTCCAAGATCTCAAGAGGAGCAGGATCTTTCTCCATACTTTTAATGGAGGTACTGGGAACTGAACCTGGCAGCCTTCCGTGTGCAAAACAGATGTCCTCCCACTGACATAAGGTGCCTTCCTTTGGACGTCTAACCAGAGAGGAATGCTTATTCTGTGCATGAGCAGAATGCATATATAGCTGTTGGCTGGGAAACCTCTAAGCTTCTGCAGGCATGGTCTATGCTGCAAGCTCAGGTGTAGCTCAGCTTGCTTAGAAGGAGTTAAAACAGATCCAGTGGGAGATTTCTGGATTCCTAAACCATCTCTCTCGCTTTGATCTCTCTACTCATCTATCCTCTGTTCCAACTTTTCTTTGCATTTTCAAAATTTTCTGTGCATTTCCACCACAAGCCTGCCTTTAAAAAGTTGCTGCTCTCAGGGGGGAGCTGAATTCCACACTTGATCCCTGTGTGCAGTGTGCTTCCACAAACCTATGGAATATGCAGCAAACCTGGCTGCACATTTCAAAGAGAAGGGTGTGGGCTTTGAACCTCCTGGAAACTTTGCCTCCTAATCCCATGTGGCCTTTCACTGATGAATTTCTAAGAGCATACAGCAGGGGTCAGCAAACTTTTTCAGCAGGGGGCCGATCCACTGTCCTTCAGACCTTGGGGAGGTGGTAGACTATATTTTGGAAAAAAATAATGAACAAATTCCTACGCCCCACAAATAACCCAGAGATGCATTTTAAATAAAAAGACACATTCTACTCATGTAAAAACACGCTGATTTCTGGACCATCTGCGGGCCAGATTTAGAAGGCGATTGGGCCGGATCTGGCCCCCGGGCCTTAGTTTGCCTACCCATGGCATACAGTGTGCATTCTTGGGTCAGCTTTTGCTCTGTTCCTGTTTCCCATTATGGCACGGGAAGGGTTGCTTTGTACCCCTGCTTTGATTTGAATCGAGCTCTGTCTCCAAATTCCAACAGAATGTTTCAAGAAATAAGTCTTCCTTGTTGCAAAAAGTGCTGCAGGTGTGTTTCACTTTGTTTATCTCCATGCAGAGTGTGGCTACCCCCTTCCCCCCTTGAAACAGTTCCCTGGAAGCAGATGACCCTTCCATAGCCGTCCAGCCCCCCTCCCCCCAACACCCAAGGGTGACCCCGGAAGCACTGGTTAGCCTTGTAACTCTAGCAACAGCCTGTGATCAGACAGCACCAAGCCACTGAATTCAGCTCCTTGTTTCCAGGAAAATGCTCTCATTGAAGCAGAGACTGAGTGAAGCCTCCTGCCTTTATTCTGCTGAATGACACCAACATCCATTTGTACATTTATTAGCGGGGAGCGCAGGAAAGGAGTGGGGGGGGGGAAGTCGAGCTTCAGATGAAAGGCAGTGACACGCCTTGGCGCATGCTAATCAAGTGGGCTAGCATAGCTACTGAGGCTTCTCCTCCTCCAGCTTAAGGTAGCCATGCTGACCTGCAAGTAGCTGACCAGTACAATGCTGTAACGTCAGGCAAGCAGTTCTGGAAGCTGAAAAGCCCCAAACACCTTAGACTTTGCCAAGATCTACCACATTCTGCTCAAGCCCCATCCCCCAGGATGCTCCCTTGGCTCAGACACTTACCGTAACTCACCCTGTTTATCCTGGCTCTGCTCTCTCCCTCTCCTCCATCCTTCCTAAGATAGACAATGATTTTGAAATGAAATGGTGGCACTCTTCCTCTTGGCATTTTGGTGTCCCCGGGACATGTTGGTCTAGATCAGTGTTTCCCAAACCCAGCTGTTTTTGGACTACAGTTCCCACCATCCCTGACCACTGGTTCTGCTAGCTAGGGATGATGGGAGTTGTAGTCCAAAAACAGCTGGAGTCCCAACTTTGGAAACACTAGCCTAGGTGGAAGCTGAAGGGAAGGCTCTCCCTCTGGAATGCTTATTGGATTTCTCTAGAGCAGGACTGGGGAACTTCTAGCTCTCCAGGTATTGGTGAACTCCACCTCCCATCACCCCCAACCATCATGGTCAATGGTCAAAGATGATGGGCACTGTAGCCCAACAACATCTGGAGTGCACCTCATTGGAAAATAATGTTCTAGAGGCTCTCAGGAGGAGGAAGGGCTTATGAGATCAACTCTGTGTACAGCGGATTGTGGTTTGAGGCAACTCCCAGGGGCAGAAATGTATCCCCAGGCTCTGAACTGGCCCCACCCACCCAAGCTGGATTTGGGACCCTCATAGGTTTTTCTCTGAGGAGCTGGAGCTGTGTGACTCAGCACTTGGGACCGTGGTGAACAGTTGATGGCAGAGGCATGTCTTCTCCCCCCCTCCAAGGTGGAGCACATGTACAAGGTAGAAGGCATCATCATAGCAGAAGTTTTCCCCTTGTTTGTGTGTGTTGTGTGTTTAATAAATTAATGCATCCAGTTTAAATGCTGGAGATCTCCTGAAAATTGAGCAATGGGGAGCAGAAGTCAAAGTGGGATGAAAGCTGAAGGAGGTGAGGTGAAGTATTGGCTGGGGTTATTTGTTTTCCCAAGCAAAGCTAAGGGAGAGGGCCATAGCTCAGTGGTAGGGTGTCTGCTTTGCATGCAGAAAGTCCAAGGTTCAACTGGAAAAAGATCCTTGGAAAGCTGCTGCCAATTGGGGCAGACAATACTGAGCTACATGGAGCAATATTGTAGACTCCGTTGAAGGCAGCCTCCTATGTTTCTAAGGAAGCATTGCTCACAGATGCAATCCTTCAGGTGAAAGGCAGCTTATATCCAATGGCCTATCCAATCTGGCCAATGCAGGTTGCATTTTGGCATTCAGATTAGAGCTTCAGGAAACACTGTAAGCCTAAGGGTGTGTGGTGCAGCTACATCCTTGCAGTCAATGCAGGTGGCAACCTGGATGGAAGCTGCTTGTGTAAGCCTCTCTGAGCATCCTCAAGAAACCCTGGTAGTGAAAGCAGATGAATGAAATGCAAAACCATGAAACACAAAATGTAAAGGCAGCTTGGGGAAAGGGTCTCATCGCAGCACAAGTGGCACAAAAAAACCCGAGCCCTCGGATGTCTGCAGAAGATGCAATGCTGCCTCCCCTCGCCCTGGTGGGATTAAAAATAAAATAAGTCTTGCAAAGCACCTCTTCCCTGTCTCTTTGTTTTGTCAGCTGAAATTGGCAACAAAGGTCTTTGTGGCACTTGGGATGTGCTGCAGCAGCTATGGGATTGTGGGGAACTGTCCAGAATGATAATTGGGTCTCTCTTTCTCTCTCTCTCTCTCCTCAGTTTGTTCTTTTAAAAAAAACGAAGCCAACAGGCTATTGCACAAAGTAATTAACTGGACAGATGGAGGCAGCAGAATCTGTAAATGTTGATGACAATGTAAAAACTCTCTCTGTTTGTGTGTGGTTGCCCCCGCTAAGAGCCATTTTGCTTTCTCCATTAAGAGTCATCTTTAAAATAATTGTGGCTTATGTGGATAGATGCAATAACTGATGTGACTTATATGTCATTTGCTTTTCAGAGTGGCCAGAAAAAGGTCTCCATGGGGATGCATTCATCTTTATTCATTTATTTCTATACTGCCATATCATAAAATATTGGGATGGTGTAATAATAACCATACTGTTGGCCACTGTGAGAGCAGAATGCTGGACTGCATGGACCATTGGCCGGACTGAGCAAGCTCTTCTCATGTCCTTACCAATTAAAAACTACCCAATACTTATTTTAGATCTGTAGTAAGGTTGCTATCCATCAGTTCATTGACTTGTGCTTTCACACATTTGCCTTGGTTCGGTTGGGGGTATTTTGTTCAATAATTTTGTGGTGGGCATGGAGTTTATTCCTTCCCCCCACTCCAACCATTGAT